TATAAATATTGTCAGTTAAATATATTTATAAAAAATAAAAAATTTAAAAATGGATGTAATAACAAAAAATCTTACTATCCATTTTGCATGTAAAATGAATGGAATAGAGCCGTTGGTGTGCGTCGTAATGAAACCATGAATTTTCTGGCTCTGGTTCCTTATACTGGACTGTGATCGTTGCGTGAAACAAGTGGACGTCATGTGCTGAATGTATTATGCACATATAGTCTACAAGATGTATGGCGATCTGATATTCTTCCAAAACCACCATGTCATTCCAGCCTAGTAGATTGCTTTTTTTTGCATATTTTTTGGATTTCTTTTTAGCCTCATAAAAAAAATCACACAACCTATATAGTACATACAAATTATCTATAAGTAAATGAAAAATAAAATTTAATATGTGGAATGAAAAAATTATTATAATTTTGATGTTATCTAGTTACAACGTGATTCTCTCTATCCTTCATCACAACATTCATTAGCTCTATTCCATTTAAATTTCCCTTTGCGGTAAAAAATTATAAAAATAAAAATTCTAGTAATTTTAATAAAGTAAACAAATTAACATAATAAAAAATTAAGTTAATACTAACATTAAACCTTAAAAATTATGCATTGACCTACAATTTCTATTAAGGATGTTTGAAAACTTGGTTTCATTGAAACAATAAAATTTCCATTGATGATTTAAATATCGATGTTATCATTCGGGCAGCCTCAATATTTGTAAATCTGAAATTGGATAAATTTAATAAAATATTATTTTTTTCAAAAATTATTAAACTTATGAAAGCAAAACAAACTTATATTAAAAGGTCGTCGTTCCACTGCACCTCATACTTGCGGGTGAATGAATCTCGCTATGAAGGGACCCTCTTCTACATCACGGTATTGCACTCGATGAGGTAGCGTTGTAAGTTGATGTATGTGCCTTAGGTGACTCTTCTTAGTTAGCACCTAATAACTCATGATTGTCATTATTGTTGCTAGAAAAATTAACATTGATCTTGTCTTCACGACGTGTAATTGATTTTTCTCTAGGTATCTACATAAATTTACAGGAAAAAATATACAATTTTGATTAAAAAAAACATTTAACAACACCTCTTTTATACAAGAAGCTACCCATAAATTTTAATCTTGCAAATAGACAATGGATGCCTTCAATTTCTACCAACAATTTTGAATAATTCAATTTCATAGAAAACTCTCATTTTCTACGTGATAATATTATTAATCCTAAATTTAAAAGAATTTATTCTAAATGGAACACATACAATATAATAATTAAAATTAATCCTACATATTTAATTAAATATTAACAACAAAATTAAACACATAAAATAACTAAAATTCAACAAAATAATGAAAAAAAAATATTGGTTAGCTCAAGGTTATTCAATCTATTTTAATACTTCTCTTAATTCATTTCAATTGTATAAATAAATTCAAATTTATACACATTTACCAAAAATTACAATTCAATAATAAAATTGATAAAATATAAAATGAATCCATTAAATAAGTCATTATTTATTTTATCACAAAACACCTAAGTTGATAATTCGATATAAGTTTCATCAATTTACAGATAAATATAATTTTATAAAATTTAAAACAAATCCTAACATGGACAAATTATAAATCCATACAGTAAATTTATTTGAGAAAAAACTATAAAACAAGTAAACATTCAAACAAAATATATATACAAAAAAAAAAGAGAAAACATTTTAAAATTGTGTTAAAAAAAGATAGATTTGCTTACTTAAGGTAGAGAATCCTCAATAAAATTTGAATCAGAACACGAATGCTGACAAATCTAGTATTGTGGTGGCTGAATTTGTTGTGGGGGGTTGGATTGTGTTGAGATTGGAAGGAGAGTGGTTATTTGTTGTAAAAAAAAAATGCATAAGGAAGAAGTAAAAATAGGGGAGGGGGAGAGAGGGGTCCATCACCAGGTCAAAAATTAAATATTATTGACGGATTAACAAACATAATTATTCCGATAGTAACTCTATCGACAATTCTGTCAATAAAAATGTCACACCACCGTATAATTTATTTTCTTGAATCTCACTGTAATATCCTTCATAATGTCATTAGTATATATCGATGAAAATTTCTTATTGGCATATTCATAGATAAATTTTATTGTCAGGTTAATTATATCAGTAATGTCATCTGTAAAACTTATATGCCATTATGTTGTTTGACTTTTTTTTTTTTTTTGATGTACTATGATTCTCTCATTATATATTGTAGAAATATTTCTATCAGTGTTTATTAACAGATTTAGCAATGAAAAATTTGTTCAGTAATATTTACTGTAGTATACTAATAAAAAAATTTCATTAATGTTTCTATTTGTATTTGTTAATTTTTTGATAGATAGAGGCTATGGGAAACGAACAATGAGGGATCACAATGGAGGAAACTGATTTATTAGCAAGATCAAATAAGAAAAAGGAGCTGATGATCGATGGAAGGCAAAATGAACAAGGGAGACTCATAGTTGTGTTCTACTTTTTTGGAACAACAATTAATGGAAATAGCCAACTGGAACACTGAATGTTCGAGGAAGATGAGGAAGAGGAAAATGGGGAGGAAGACTGCTCGGTCATAAAACCATCAATGGAGGGGGGAAAAAACGTACAAGGGCACCTTGGCGTCAAACAATCATCGTCGTGAAAGTTATGGGTAGACGAGCAGGGTAAATTTATCTTACGCGACGTATTAGACGAATAACCTAAGGGGCTGCATCTGATGTGCTTCCGGCGTGGTCAATACGGACACGAAAAGGAGAATTGCCCTTCTAGTGAAAAGCATAGGGAAACCAGTGCTGATAGACAACGATATATTTGCAAGTCTTTAACAAAATAAGGTATTTGTTTAACGTAAATAGATAGATTTATTATTGAACTTATCAAGATGGGGTAATGATTCTATCAAAATCAAAGATCATAATATCATTTTGATATTGTATGATCTTTAGTTTTATTGAGATTTACATTTAAGGTTGAATCGTGGATCGAATTCAAATTATATTTGCATTATTTCCTATAAGAAATTGACGAGGATTTAGTATTTACAACTATATATACACAGCAACTCTTTAGAACAATCTCACTCGACAACAAAGGAAAGCTAAAACATTTACAAGGATCAAATAAAAAGCTAAAACATTTACAAGGCTCAAATAAAAGTCTTAGGAAAGTAAAGGGGTATGAAAAGCTTTCGAAAACTTTGAGGTGCCGTGGTCTCTCCTATATACTCGATCCGATGACACCACACACAAAATTGATATATAATTTCGATCCCTTGAAAAGAAAGGAGAATTGCATGGATGTTTGAATGAGGTTTTAGCCTGTATTCTTGTTTATTTTGAAAATGATACCTTGTAAACAGCACTTAGTTATGAATCACAATAGATACAATTGGCAAGAAAAGCTAAGGCATTGGACAAAGTTTACATCCTACCTCTAACAAAAATTGCAGTTCTCTAGCAATAGCATGAATAACACCAATAGTTGCCAAACAGCTCCACATGCTCCCCAAAATTCTGCAGTGAACAACAACACCAAAACTCATAAATGAGGAAACAAAGGGACTTGGTGATCAAGATAGGAGGTTTCAGAAGTGACCATGGAAACGTTGGATATCTTTTTTAATCATAGTGCGGTGTGTGTGCTAGAGGGGGAGTGCATGGAAGGTAGGCTCGTGCCCTGTATCAAGAGGAGGGCTTCTATTTGAGACAATACAAAGGAAAACCATGGAATGCTCAGTCAGCTCTGGGAAATGCCATTCAAAATCAGCATTTTATAAATTGGTTACGAACTAAAGTTAAATAGCATCCAATAAAATATCTGCAAGTGAAAGACAAAATGAAATGACAGGGAAATAATTTGTATGGTGAAAGTTTATTAGGAGGCAAAATGGTTACATAAAAGAAACATGAACTCTAGCTTTCAATAATTTATATAATGACACAGGTGTTGTTGATGAATAGTTTATGTGTAGATGCATTTAAAGAAACACCCATTAACCATGCTCAGTTGAGGGACAAAATGCAAATACAAACTGGTGTCAATTTGATAATATAAACTTCCACAAAGCATGGGGTAAACTAACAATTTTGTGCATGTAATTGCTTATTCATGTGTTGTAACTGATGTTCAGCTGATTTTAAGAGACTAACATGAGTTTGCCATGGCAAAAGAATTTCACTATAAATTAACTAAATTTTGCTGTAGTTTACCGAAGTACATTTCTTGCACTAATAATTGTTGAAGATGTGCTACAAAGTGTTTATAGCTCGAAGAAAAATTAGAGGGGCTACATGTGCTTAAATCTATTGTCTAAAATCATTTCAAATGATAAAGATTACACATGCCTGTTTATGTGCATTTTGCTGTACTATTATTTACTTTGTTTTCACAGTATAAAAAGGGTTGGATATGATATGCCCAAACATTTGCATTTAATTATTCAACGTCATAATGGTATTATTCTCTGCTAAGAGCATGTGAAGATCAGCCATAACACACATACACTATAAGTGGTGGTAATCTAAGAAACAAAAGCAAGGTGTTTAAGAGCTGTTTCG